CCACCTGTGTTTTGAACCATAAATTGACTACCGAATAACGCCAGAGATTTTTTCACCTACTGATAGGGGACGCTGAAAACGTAACACAGAATTTGCCGGTATTGTATTTTATCATGAAAACCTGACGTCAAACAAAAAGGTAGGAAAATGAGAGAAAGAATTTTTGCGAAAAATCCAATCCACCGGAACACTCCCATTAGACGCTTTTCGATTCCACTCAGAAATATCTCGACGATATTTCCACCGGTGATCTTTTACTCCTGTCTAGCAGCAGTTATTCAACTGGTTTTGGTCTCGGGATTTCGCAGCTATGTGGATTCTCTGTGTCAGCGTAACATGCACTTTCGTCGTCGGGCTGAATTCGGGAGTGTAAATTAGTTGGTTCAATGAATTCATTGGAACGCAAACAAGCCAGTTTCCGGTGAATGGGAGTGTGTTAGTGGCCTGATTTATGCAAATAGGTGTACCTCCAAGAGGAAACTACCCACAAGGTTGCTGGAAACTCTTCAATAACCAACGATTGATTTTGAATTTCATTGGGCTCATCAGGTAGGTGCAGCCCGTCAAACTTATGTCATACTGGAACCTTCTTATTGATCCCTCTGCCTTCCGACGACGGTGAGGTCGGATGATTAGTCTCCCTGTGTTCGCTTGTTTTCAACAGATTCCTTCATTGTGCCTATTCTACAGGTAATAAAGATATCCCTTTGGAATACGATGGATTTCTTTTATTTTTCCCGCTTCGAGGTTGTTGCAGATCTTTGAGATCTCCGAAAGAATTAAGGGAGCCACTGATAAAGGACAACGTACATCTAGGCCTCGGCTGGATATGAAGACATCTTAGTTCGCAAGACGACACGTCTTGGTGTTGTCGAATCAAATTTGCAATTTTATTTAATCAGCGGGCACATAGGAGACTTCAAACAGGAATGTAACATTTCACACTTTTCCGCTAACCAAACCCGTCACATGATCTGTCACGCATCACCTCGGTTGATCATAACAAAGAATCGATCGGATAAATTTGTGAACGTGTGCCCTAAAACAAAATGGGTTGCTGCTGTTAGACAGATACAAAAAACCGTCGGTGAAAAATCTCAACCGAACATTCACCAAAAGCACCGAAACCTCATAAAAGTTTGGAACCGCACTGATAGGAATGTGCAACCGACAACTCCCCGGACAGAACGGGGCCTTAAGCATGGTCTTATATGATTGTTGTGTCCACATCCCATTTTTATTGATTTTGTGTCAGTCTATCCATCGCATACTCTAGAAAGTCCCAAGTTTAGCTTATAATGGATTCTCCTATCTGCTGCTCAAGTGTTTGTTCGGCCCTGTTCGGCGCTAGTCGAATTTTGGCGAAAAACCATTATAGGCCTTCAGTATGGTTCCTTTGAATAGGTTTTGTCATTATTATATGGTAAACAAGTGGTCCGGTTTTGTAAGAAGCACTTTGACATTTTTTTCAAAATACAATGCGTACTTTTCTTCGGCTAGTTATTTTTGCAAACATTTTTCTAGTACATTCCAGTGTTTGAAAGGAATGTAAACACTTCAGTTTTTTATAAGGTATGTCACGTCTCACCTGTACGCAACAAAGTAGCCAGTTTAGATAAACGGGGATTCGTTGTCTCAAGGTGGTGCTTCTTTTGACTCCGAGTGTTGGATCGATTCACTGAGCAGAACTGTGTGACTTCCACTTTCCTAACGAATCGTTTGCATGGGTGATGCGACTTCCTGAGAATGCCAGGTTTTTCGGGTTTCACTCATATTGGACGTCACCATTCTGGAATGACTAATCTTGTAAACACATCTGCTCCTACGTTTGGCCTTCTTTGAATTTGGAATTTTGGACGACCGATTTATGAGGAGGCGGCTGAGTTAGAAATCAACCATCTGAATGAAATTAGAAATATAAATGTCATGGAAGAGTTCCTTCATTTAGCAGTATGTTCTTCCACTGCCTGAATAAGCTTGGAAGCCAACTTCTTGGTTTTAAAATGTCTCATCGTGATTGATGATCAGCGTGGTTTAGGAGGGAATAAGAGAAAGGCGTAACATTTTTGTTCAACTAATTTTTCAGTGGTCACTTAATTGGGACTAAGTGGTAATAATTGGCTCATAATCAAATTTGTGAAACGAGCGTGAAATTAATAAACGATATTACAAGTGGAAGAATATCCACGCAAGTTTCGTAGACGTATTGCAAGCTTAGAGAGAAATTTGGTACCTGAGATTCGTCAGTTATATTGCAATTTGTTGTGTATACCGGTGGGATGCCAGACTGTTTGGTTGGCAACGTTTTGTCGAATCCCTAACTTGCTAGGCAACGGGACCTAGCTAGACATAAGCTACGTGTGGGTAGAGGTTGACGAGCTATGCATCATGTTAGCAAACTACTACTGGTGCATAAAATCTACTCACAAGTTTGCTGAAAACTCTTCGACAGCCCACTACCGGTTTCGCCCTTCGTAGGGATCATCAATTAGACACAGTCCCCGAGTTTCCCTCAACCATGTGTTCTCAAACTTGAGACGGCCTTCGTGCAGCACACCGAAGAATATCATAAACGAGAGATTCAATTGAGTTTCCAGTGAAAACCAAATTGATTTGCTAACAAGTGTATTTGTCGTTATTATTAGTGCACTTTGAACCAGGTAATCTACTGGCATGAGACGGTCGTTAGCTGCCAACAAAGGTGAATAAACACAAAAGTGCGCTTAGCCGATTACTACTATCGTTTATTTCTGAAGAGCATGGTCATGGACAAAAAGTAAATGCAGGCGACGGATGTGGAAGGGCTACAGGAGAATATTACATAGAAGAGAGAAGCGTCCCATTCAAAGTCATTCCACCAACAGTTCCAGTTAAATAAAGTGAATCCCGATGTATGTAAGAATGTTTCATGTGGAAACAAGCGTGCAATGCTAGAAACAAGTGAAGCGATCAAGCAGGTGGTTCCTGTCCTCCAGCAAAGGGGGCAAGTGAAAGTTTTAGGATGGCCTTGTCAGAAAAACTTTCCTATCACCAAATAAATATTTTTGCTGTTTGTACATCAACAGTATAGTAACTCGCTTTGTCCGAGTTCTGGCCCTCGATCACTCAGATGTTGAAGACTAGAACAACTCCAATTTAAGCAGTATGTTAGAAAATCAAGAAATTCAACTGAGGCTCCGAATGGAGGATAACGTAACAGAGTGTGGCTAAAAAATACTGGTCTATGCACAGTTATGTAAACCATAATGTCGGTAGTGTGGGGGAGATTTAGCAAGTCTAATGGAGATTTCGTTCTTTAAGAAAGGCCAATTTACTCTGAAAAACCTAGGACCTAATTACTGGGGATCACCAGCACTGTGCATCTCGCGAAAACCAGTTAGTCTTGAATATGCAAAATCTCGTTGTCAATTAAGAAGCTAGTTAGGACGTGTAACCGCCTGATATGGATCACGTGTTTGAGCGGCACTATATTCTTTCTTAGTGCGACCTGATTGCACTGCTGACCGGCCACTCGTGGCTAAATGTTCAAACCACTAGTCAATTGGAGACTCCTTGTTGGATTTTCCTAAAATTATTCTGAACAATGGTGAAACGGACGACGGAATTCAGCTTTTGAGTGAAAATCGGTTTTACATACAGGACGAAGTCTCCATGTAAGTCTTCATCTCTAATTTTGTGAATTAAGTGTAAATATTTCTTATTGGCAAGAAAAACTGAACTGTCGGACATTGTTTTCTGCAAACTGCAAGCGAAAAGTTAATCAGTATTAAATACCGAAAACTATGGGCCTAGATTATCTTATGGGTGGCTTTGGAAACCTTTTGATATAAAGAGATGTTTTTGTCTGACAGATTTTCGTCGCGAGGTAAATAGATGACAGATTTTCTCACCCCATGAACTAGTGGTAATTGGAGACTCATTCCAGTCTTACTGATCTAATTTAAGGGTACTGAAATCGACGCAGTTATCTGGCTGGTCTAAAGCATAGGTTGGTTGTGAGACGCCTTCTAGGCATCCAAGGTAAGGTAACAATGGTGCCGAAAAATTCACATATGGTTTTCAGATAAACTTCTCATCTACTTCTACTTATGGTGTTTCTTTTAAATTTAGTTCTTTCTCAAAAGCCTTACAGAAAACTAGGTGAATCTGCTAATCAAGATGAATATCCTTTCTCCTATTCTAGGGATATCAACTTTTCATCTTGTGGGGGCATTCCTTTATTTCTTGTAATCCATAGACAGTCCAGCAACGTCAGCTCACACAACTTACAAGCCACCGGTTACAGCACGAGGAAAATTTGCTGCTCGAATACGTCGCAAATAAAGTGAAGATTTCACCAAGGGGTAAACACGTTACGCACCACATAAATTGCTTTTGTTTCACCCAGGTCAGCCATTTCTAATTCACGTACGGCGAAAATGCAACAACAGTACTAAGCAGCCTTAACAAAGCATAGTCGTGCAAACATGGATCTGTGGTAGACTGGATCCCAAAACTTCAGTAGGAGACGAATATAGTAACATAAATACAGCGAACAAAGAGATTTAACGTTTCTTAATCCCTGTGGAGTCTTTGGAGAGTTTTTACACATACCCCATCTCAATGCAATACCATGTTTGCTGGAATGAAGGCCTCGATTAAGTACACATGTGGAGTGGAATTAAAGATTTACTAACTCCTGAGGTAATGTTAAAGTCAGGCTCAGCTATTTTCTTACTGTCCAACAAAATGTAGTGCTCAAAGGCCGTCTCACGGTTTATTTGGGCTGGCGCACAAAATACCGTGCCAAGAAAGATGAACTATATCCAGATCACCAGTGCAACTCGAATTTTTCAGTCGGGCTTTTTTGGTAAACGTATCAATCTGATACTGGCGCATAAGAAAAGAATACACGTTTTTCTACTTACTGCCGGGTCGTCTAAACAAAACACTAACATGGCATCAGTCGCTCAACAATTCTGCTAGATAACTCAAGAATTCATAATTGTTTCATCCTCTAGGCGCAACCCAGTGGCTTTCGGTGAGCATGTTGGTTACAGCCATCATCGCACTCATGAGCTTTGTGGCCACGTTGTTGTTTGCTTTGGGCACACTGTTGTTTCCGCTTGTGAATCGGACATATGGGGTGGTCGTGATTATATTCGGCTGCTTGATAGGTAAGTTTTGTTTTGAATCGCTGCGTTGAACATTCATTAAAAAGCCCATGACAGGAGACCACAATATTTAGAGAAATGTCCTATATTAATGAAAGAGTTCCTGTTTTATTTCTCTTGTAATATGGGTGGAACATCTTCAGTTGAGTGGGTGAATGCAAGCCAAGTCTGGATGATTCATCCTCGACAGGAATATCTTCTCCTGAGACTAGTGGATCTCCTGTCCACTTTGCTTAATATAAACGGTTGAAATTGAAACAAAGACAGCACTTCTTTGGAGAGTAGTCATCTTGCAGAACATGAAAAAATGCGTACAGATTGTATTGTAGGAGCTTTGAAAAGAATATTTTTGAATCAACACTGGTGAAGCTAGTTAGGATCCGGCATCTCAACATATTGTCCAGCATACTACTCAGGCTGCTTCTATACTAATCCTGTCAGATACTGATTCCTAGAAAGTTGAAAGAAGAAATAAACCATTTTGATGTAGAATTCAGAGTTTTTCAATCGTTTTCAAGATTTTCCAAGCCATTCTCCGAGTGTGCGGATATGATTTATGCAGGATTGATGATAACCACATTGATCAAGAGAAAGGACAGATTAGTTAGGTCTTTTACGGTTTCCTACTGCATTTGAGCTAACTGAGTATTTTACAAAATTAACCCCAAGGTGAAATTTTGTTTCCACCATCAATATCATCGACAGCCTGACATCAGTGTCTAAACACTGATGCATTACTCTGTACAACCATGATTTATTTGAAAGACTTATTGTGAAGAAAGGAATAAGAGTGGATGGCTGAGAGAATTAGTTCTAGCCGCCTTATTAATCCCGAGGTGTTTCCACCTCCAGACACTTGTTCTTTTTTGTCATCAGTCGTGGGGATATCATCAGCGCGCATTTAGGTGGTTACCTTTTCCATATGTATTTGGGTTTATATGGTTTTCAAAACAATATTTTTCATCGCTTGATTTGATTAGGTGATTAAGGAAGGACCTTATCGTAATTTCATGGGTCCTTCAGCGATTCGTGCTCCGTTGTGGTCATTGGTCTCGATGGGCTCCTTGAAAAATGTTTATTCTGCTATGGCTTAATGAATTTCTCATCGGTCGGTTGAGAAACTGTTTTGCGTTGTGTTAACTATTTTTCCGAATTGAGTGGGGATCCAGGAACTCTTTGTTTTCTAGTCATCTCTGTTTTGATTGGCCGGTTCCCTGTTCGCACTGCGTTGTGGTTTGACTACACCAGGCCCCTATCAGATCAACAGTCACAAACCAATTAGGGCAACATGGTACCAGTATTTCGATATATTTGCCGGACGCTGAACGCACAAAACAGCTCGTCAGTGGGAGAGTTTCGCCTGCTGACAGTCCTCCATATGGCAACAACTTGAATTCCTTCACGCGAAAATGTCCGCTCGCGTAGCGTAATTTACGGACTCGCAACTAACCAAAAATGTTTGTACAGTAGCCAGACAGTGCGGTGGACGCATGGTCAGATTCATGAATACCGGGGCGCATAACCAGAGAATGCGAGGAGATAGAGAAATCTGCCTAGGATCAATAAGATCAGTAATGCTGCAACTCAAGATGGTATAAGAATGACAAGTCGAGTCCTCTTATGAAAGGAAGTTTCCCTTAAAAAAATCGAATTTTCTAGGTTGACTGCAGATCAGTGTGACGAAAAATGTTCACAATCAAGCCTGTAATGAACATAACTTGACCTCATACTTTCTACATTCTTTTGCTTATGCCGTCCACGTATTGGATCGCTACTTGTTTTGCTCATCCGTATCCACTGTCCACCTTGTCAGAAAGGCCGTTCCATCCGAAACTGATGGGCTGTGTGTGGGCATGTGTGTGAATATGCGCAGCTGACCTATTTACCCATGGGTGCTCGTGCACAGTTTGCTTAGCCTGCCGTGACTCGTTGTGTCATGAGTTGCGTGTAACGCCACCGCCAATCAGAATCACCAAACCGTCCCCTGAATGGACGACCACAACCCACACTAAAAAGCCAACATTCTGCTCGCCGTTGTTTGGTGTGCGGGCCTTGACACTGCGCTGTGCCGGTCAGTGACAGACTTGTACATGTCTGAACACCACGAAAGTTGACAACTGAGATTTATTGCATGACTTTACTTACCTTCGTGTAAACGGTATCGTAGACTTTCGAAACCAAACTTACCTTTTGATATTCGGGGTGGTCAAACTTCACGTGATTCCAAGTTTCTCAGCAGCTCAGCAGATAAAGCATCTTTATTGAGAAAGAATGAAACGTTTCCATCAGAGGTTTCTATCATCAGTGAGGATCACCTGCCCACGTACGAGTTAATTACACCGCCGATCAACTGCTTTTGGTCGAACGGCTAAGTTTTTACACCAATAGCCGAGAGGTTGCGGGTTCGAGATTCTTTACTGAAGTTCCGTGAGATGCATCCTACAGATGATTCCCAATAAAGATGTAACAGCTCTACAGTGCTTCTTTGGGCTTTCAAATATAGATTAGCTTCAGTAAGGGATGGAATCTCAACTGAACATTCCAAAATCACCCCACGATATCATTATTAGACCTAGGTGGTGGGGAATGCACAACTTGAGTTAACTATGAAAGTGAACTGAACATCATTGCACTTACTTCGTGGAAAGTGAAAAGGTGATAATGGAGCCAAAATTCTGAGCTTTGTGCGAATTTCCCAAAGCTCGGGATCACTTAAAATTAGGAGTATTTCAGTTGGTTTTATTCTGCCTGACCTCATTATCTGACGTACTAGTCAGTTGACCGACACATTCAAGAAAGCGACTGAAGTACGAGTTGTGATAATTCAGCGTGCGCCCATAGATCGTGGTGGCTCGCTTACTCCGCACGTTGGAAATTAGACACAACAAGAGCAAAACTTCCATTTTGCTACAGGCTAAACGAAACAAGCTGATTACTGTTCCAACGAGAGTAGTTTGGGTATATATCATACTATGCTTAAAAGTGTTTACAACCAATATGAGTTCTGGTAATCAGAATGTCTGTCATTCCATCTAATCTTTTTTCCGCACAATCGTTGTTGAGCATCTGTGACAACATACGTCCCAGACTTAGATGAGTCAAAATCAAGTGTACTTCATTCGTTCGACCGAAAGAAAGATTATTTAACAAACGACTTTAAAAATGGTTCCTTCAGGGCCTGATGGAAATCGTATTCTGATAAATAAGGAAATTTATTTTTGACAGCTATCTAGGTCCCCTGGAATGTAAATTAGTGTGTGTCATTGCTGTATGTATGTGAGTCACATGGCCAGAGGAGAGAGTTCTTGTTTATCTGTTGGGACCTGAGGCCTGTCTCAAGTTTTCTTCAGATCTAAACACCAGACACATATGGACCTTGGTGTGTTCGAATTCCTCCATTGTATTGTTGTTTGGCAATTACATTCAGGGTGACCAATTCTGATCGCAAAACGGATTCTGCATCAATGGGCAAAGTGCCTTCCCTTTTCCAGTTTTTTTCGCCAGTGTCTCTTACGGTCTGCTGCTGGGATACAACCATCATCACGTTACTGGCAGTTCAGGGAAAAGCGTAGCCAGTCCAACTGTGGGAGAATGGACATTTGCCAGTGCAGCGCTTGGAACGGGCCTACTCACAATCGGCCTCGTGACACTCAGTTCAGACGACAATATGTTGGATATATAAAGGAAAGGAACAAGCACAATACAGATCCCTAAAATGTGTCCATACATGTTCATACGAACAACCCCTTCGTTGTCATACACATTTTGGTCATTATAACGTCTTGGACATGCTTGTTATTTTGTTGTACTGTGAATATCGACCCTTTGAGGATAAAGATAGGCACTACTATTAGGATTCGATCACGCATACAGTGGCTGCTGAGCAGATTGGTCGAAAACGATCGCTTCAGATATTGGTAAGCCGTGGTTAACATAGCCCCTGCTGACGCATTTGTGTGAACTTACGGCGTAACAGGATCAAACAGAAAAAGTCCTAAATAGTTAAGAACTCACTACATTGAGGGAGTAGAAACAACATAGAGCCGGAACTTATGTATTTGAAAAGCAGGCCCAGTCTACTTACTATACGAAAGACAGTTGGTCTCACTGCATTGAAATCCCATCGCTCACAGGTCGTGAACGTTGAAGCAGACCCCGTAAAATCTCATGAGCTTTATTCTTTTAATGTAATCCGATAGTATGGTTTTTATTGTGCAAGGTGCAAGAAAGGGATCTGAGCATTATTAGCAACTAAATAGAGTGACGACGTACGTTCAAAAAAGCAGTACCGTTGTTACATGGCGACATGCTTCACCCCCCCCCCCAAGCTGCGTTTAACCAGTCCAAACAACGAGTGAGCTGAAGCAAAAATAAATCCAGATTGAGCTAGGTTCTTTTGGGAATTCAGTCACTTTGTTCAAGTCAAAGCCGTATGGCCATCCCTCAGGGCGTCATGTGAATTCGGCTTCGGCAACGAAGCTGTTTATTTGCAATATCTTAAGGATTCAACTACACATACCGACTATATTCAGAATATTTTGTCGAATGCCGCTGCTCTGACAGACTCTGTTCGAAATTTGAGCAATAAATGCCTGAGATTGTCTAGACAAGCGTTGAAAGTCTCCACTCATTATGGTACCTGTAGTCCTGTCTGGCCTGTTCGTTGACGCACACAAATTCGATCAAGCCAATCACGTTGTTTGTATGACAATCGCTACTGACGCCACGGCAATTAAGATTCAGCGTCACTGATAGAGCGTGAGGAAATCTTTGGCTCTGCAAAGGCCATAGGTATCATCAACTTCAAAGCTGGCAAAACCGGACAAACGAGACAAGCTTATTTGGATTCTCAATCACTCATGGATTTATGTGACGTCTAAGGTCTGCATATAAAACTATACACAGTAGTTAATGAGTTCTATGCATTGTTTGTTGCTTCATGGAAGAATGTTTCTAACGCAGAAATTGATATTTTTCGGCTTGAAGTTAAATATTATTTTTCCACAAGCGAGAAGGAGGGCTTCTGAATCGTAAATCACGCATTGAGTTGTGAAATCAAACTTTTCCAGAAATGCAGCCAGTAAAAAGCAAATAAACCCGAGTAAATTTAAACAACTCCGACTTTAATGAAAAAGCGGGGAAAGTATGGATTGGCAGCCGGAAGAAAAAGTGCAAGTGGGAACTGAATGTAAGGGAAGCCAGAAGTAGAAGGCATGCCAATTCTGTGTCGTCCGTAAGTGGCTAAGCGAACTTCGCAGTTCTAGACCATTTTCGCATACCGTGCGTCTCAATATTTGTACATTCAGTAAAAGCGAATTTCCCTAAAAGCAAGCCAAGTAACGATGGTCTGTTTCACACGAATTAAGCAACACTTATTAGAGATTAGGTTAACATCATTCCAGGGTGTTAATGAAACAAAAAGGCGTAAGCTGAATGATGTGAGCACGCTCCCCAATACCAATAAAGAAGTTTGGATAAAAAATACTGTGCAGTTATTTCAGATCGACGTACGTTCCTCTGCCTTCTCTGTCTCCAGTAAACTACTATACCAAGGTTGAAGCGCGCTCACTCGTAATTAAATCATCTAGATCTGCAGCAACCACGGAGCAAGAAAAACAAAAGAAATCTATTGTATTCAAAAGGGATATCTCTGTTACCTGTAGAATAGGCACAGTGAAGGAATCTGGTGAATACAAGCGAACACAGGGAGACTAATCATCCGACCTCACCGTCGTCGGAAGGCAGAGGGATCAGTAAGAAGGTTCCAGTGGAACATAAGTTTGACGGGCTGCACCAAGGGCTGCACCTACCTGATGAGCCCAATGAAATTCAAAATCAGTCGTTGGTTATTGAAGAGTTTCCAGCAACCTTGTGGGTAGTTTCCTCTAGGAGGATCACCTATTTGCATAAATCGGGCCATTAGCGCACTCCCATTCACCAGAAACTGGCTTGTTTGCGTTCCAATGAATTCATTGAACCAACTAATTTACACTCCCGAATTCAGCCCGACGACGAAAGTGCATGTTACGCTGACACAGAGAATCCACATAGCTGCGAAATCCCGAGACCAAAACCAGTTGAATAACTGCTGCTAGACAGGAGTAAAAGATCACCGGTGGAAATATCGTCGAGATATTTCTGAGTGGAATCGAAAAGCGTCTAATGGGAGTGTTCCGGTGGATTGGATTTTTCGCAAAAATTCTTTCTGTCAATTTCCTACCCTAATGTTTGACGTCAGGTTTTCATGATAAAATACAATACCGGCAAATTCTGTGTTACGTTTTCAGCGTCCCCTATCAGTAGGTGAAAAAATCTCTGGCGTTATTCGGTAGTCAATTTATGGTTCAAAACACAGGTGGTTTTATAATTCCGTCGCTCAGCTCACGATCCTGGAGGCAATTATGTTCAATATAAACCATTTCGTTGACTTGTAAGCACTGAGAATTTGAACTTCGAGTATCTGAGATCGAAGTTGGCAAAAATAAGGCTCAAGTCAGGTTCGCAGCATGCACTGTTTTCTTTGAAATATGTTCATAATGCGCTTCCAAATAGACAACTACCACCTCACTGTTACAGCTAAGGTTTCTGCAAAGCACTGTGTGTTGAAAGCAGATTTCACATCAACTGTGCCGTGCATTGAACACTTTTGCCAAGCCACATACCCATCGAACCAACCTTGTGAGTATTTTCCTCTATGAAAATTGATCTAGTAATTTTTGATTATTTTTTTCATGTCAGTGAGGCTATTCTATAATGAGTAGCCAATAAGCACTGTATAGCTGTCTCCTTTTCTATTGAGAAACACCAGAAGTGTGTTTTTAACGAAACTGCATGACATTTTGATCCTGGAAACTCCCGACCAGTGGTTGAACACCTAACCATTTGACCACAAGTGGCTGATAAGCAGTATGATCAACTTACCTTTAGACAAATATAATGCCTGTCATACTTCAATCATCCATATCACGTTGTCAGTTTTAGTGGCTCGGCGAGAAACGACTCTTCAGGCGGAAGTTCACCCATGCTGTAAAATTCTTATTCTTCTAAGCTACTCATAGATTGATCGCAGTGTGAGAAAATTTGAGAATTTTTCAAATGAATATTCATCCCATAAATGAAGCCACTCTGTACCAGAAAACTGAGAACAAAATTACCTCCTGTAATAAATAGACAATATGAATAGAGGAATTAAAATCAATGGTATAACATCCTTTCCTTGAAGGCTGTGATCGGAAGGTTTGTCCGTCACCATGCGCGAAGCCAAAGGGGTGATGAGCTGCCGTATAGCCATGAATTAGAGTGGAATGTAATCCAGTGACTCAACCAGAAGGATGAATGGACAGTCTAAGAAACCCCAAGAGTATCTTGAAAAAAACTATTGCGCGCGATTTGACGCAAAAGAACAAGAAAATAAACCCTTGTTTATAGCTTTTGCTGAGCTATGTCAGCCCAAAACCAATTTTCCGAGTTAACACGGTGGTGCGGTTGAAACTCGGTTCCATTGCTTTACCCGTAAGCGAGATGACCCGCGTAGCACCCATCCGCGCCCCTGATTTGTACGATTGAAGTAGTGGTCCACAAATCGTGACAATAAACTAGAGCGTAAAATACCTAAAAGATTCCCTGAAGACACTCATTTGCACTCTAATCTAGTTTTAAATGTAGACTCAAACGAATCCCCGTTGGGTCTCTTGGTTAGGATATTCTTCAGCTGGATGTGCAGCACAAACGATCGTTCATGCTGTAATTGGTAGGATATTCGAATGTATATTCTTGGAGGAAGACTACTAGCTTTTGACAGCCCGCAAAGGGTTCCGTTGTTTACAAGGCTTAGAAAGGCGTTCTGTGTCTTCATAACTTAACTTTAAACCAAATCACCTGAGGTTATTGTTCCAAAACACAATTCGCGATATTAACTTTAGACCAACAGTCACATTGTGGAACTGTGAGAGACACCTTTTTTTAGTTAAGAATAGAGAGTATCAGGAAAATGTGCGCTATGCTTGAACCGAATTGGATTGCGTCATGATGTTTTTCCTGTTATCAGTGAATCACGTCTGCGATTCAAGTGATTGCGGTCGGTTTTAAAACAGGTGATTTTGATTATCTCTTCGGTATTTTAACTGCACAAATACTTTTATCTTGTGGTGGTATTTTTCTTACAAATTTTTATGATGAGAGTGATCATAACAAAAATCCAATCCACAGCCGACCAGAAAGGCTCTGTTGAAGTGAACGTTGAAGTGAAAGTTAAAAATTCAGGAAAATAAACACCACACTTATTGCAGTCCTAAACTCAGGAGTTGTAAAAATGTCTTCATTGGCGGTTCTGTCCAAGCGACCACTTGAATGAGATGCTCTAACGATACGTCTCACAATAGTGCTTACTAGAATGCTGATGTACACAAACCCATGGCAATTCTAAAACGTGAATACGTTAGCTGGAGGCCACAAAAACTGCTGAATACAAAAATGAATTCCCCTCAACCAAAATTGGGGCTGACTTTGTCATCCTATTCAATGCTGTTTTCATGAAGACATTTACTTGATCGTTACGCCATCACGGCAGTCCGATTCACTCATTCTCCTCTCCATACCGTAACACCAAATTTGCAGATTTATTACAGATTGTCTGCGCATATGTTTTGATTCCAGGAGAGGAGTGCCTTTTGAAGTTATTTGGTGAACTACCGTTTACATCGAGTAGGACCAAGTAGAAGACGCCTTTGGTCATCTTTGTTATCAATGACTAAAA